TCATGGCCATCAGGCAAATGCAAGATTCACAAAGGGGAAAAAAATTGCTATCAGAGACCTCAGGACAAAGAAAGCTACCAGAATATGCAACAGGGACTGAACCTCTAATTTCTGTCAGGTATATATATTTAAAAACCTGGAAGAAGGTCTTGTTAGTTATACTGTCAGGCTACAAATTTCATTTGATATGGGAAGTAGTTGTGTCAAGAGTTAATAAGCTCATGCTTAATAGGGAACAAAAAAGGTTGCTGAGGAATAAAGATGATAGCAAAATGCGACTCTATGCTGCTCAATTTATTTGCATCCAACCCCATCATGACAAACGCAACACCCAGTCGCTTCATGCAGAATCAAAGAAAAATGAGTGTCAAGGCTGTTAACTTACTGCCTGCTTTTGTTCTTCTTCCTATAGAGAATTGTAATTGGAACATGAGAGAGAAAAAGAAAAAAGAAAGGACAATTGTTATCTTGAAAATGCAAACACAGTTGAGTATTAGAGGGAACACCAATGTGACCTAACACTTGAAGACACAAGGAATAAGGATATAAAACACTGCCAGAGCCTGGGTTTTTTCTTGTCAGTGTCTCACACCTGGAGGATTCACGGTCCCATGAAAACACAAGAGTTTCCCAGATAAGACGTTTATAAGGGAAGTCCACAAAACAAATAATAAACACAACTAGTTGGTTTTATACCTTCTCCCCAGCAATTGTTATTCAAGGCAATTTTGTTTGATATCAGAGGTAATATACAGTATAATATATAACAAGTTGACATTGACCACCTATCACCTGCAAATATGAAGCTATCCACTTTCAAATTCCTTTCCAATCCTAATTCTAATGGTCCTGAACCTTGGTCTGAATGAATGATAAAAGATCTTGTTGGTTCAGTAAAACATTCTCAAATTCTGTGAAACCTTTAATGCTCTTAATTCATTGGACAAATGCAAAATGCCCAAATATTACTTTTAACTTTCATAATTAAACTCTCCACCTCACTATCTTCATATGTGAAAAGAAACATACAAAGAAGTGCATTGTAACACTCCAAGTCCCTCGCAGAAATGTATTCATATTCCAACCCATATGAGGGTTATAATTTAAATACTAAATCAAATAAGTATTTTTATAGATACAGTGGATCAGATTCAGATGTTAGGAACTAAAATGTTCAGAAGTATGGAAGACAAAACCTGTGAGGAAATGCTGACAGAACATGCAAAAAAGATTGAGTAGGGTCAGGACAGTAGCCTTCAAAGATCTGGTAGAAAAAGAAAATGATTTGCTGCCTGCTGTCCCAGAGGGCATGGCTGTATATAAGGTACTTAAATTATATTTCAATATATTTTCAGATTTCAATAGGTTTTTCTGTCAATAACAGCAAACCATCAGTGAAATCAATTATGTAGCGTAGGGTAGAAAATCTCTCCCCCTAAAGTTGCATGCAGCTCTCGACCTAATTTCAAAAGCCCTCTGCAAGCAATTAGTTCAGGTCTCTTGCAAAACAATCTATCCCTCCTCAAGCAGTCCCACTGGAAGAGGCACGAGAAAAGATTGTCTCATCTACATTTGGCCCTGATCCCAGCCACCCCTAGTATATAGCCCTCAACAGATTACGCTAAGAGACTGTAGTCTTGGAGACAAAAAAAATCCAATCTTCCTTAAAGTTAGAGATATAGGGCGAGTTCTTCCTCATAACAGCCTTTTAGCAGATGCTGGGATGATCTAGCTTTAGAGTTCCTGCATCAAGTAGAAACCTGGACTTATTTTTGGGGAGTCGGAAAGAAGCAATTAAATACGAGGAGAGGGAGACAACTGGAACAGGCAGTTTCAATTGATTCCTACCAACCAAAGACAAAATCTAGCACAAGAGCCATCTCAGATCTATGCTATTCCTATATGCTTTAGCAACCAAACTCATTCATCTCTCTATGCAGCAAATCCCAGATCCAGTCCCTTCAAATGTCAGATAAAAAGAGTTCAATTGAAAAAGCATGCTCCAAGAAGTGAAATAAGAAGTTCACAACACAAATGGCCAATTAGCACTGCAGTTACATTGGCCATAGGATGAGTGCAGACATGATGTACCTTGAGCAGCTTCATGAGTCCTTCCAGTTGTACCATCAGTTCCCTTCGGCTTTCCTGAAGAGCAGACATTCGTTGTTCCAATTCATCTTTCCTTTGCCTATTCAAGTTTAATAAAAGGATAATTTCATGAGTTTGTTATCTTGCTCTTTCTGTTCTGATTATCATTGCTTCTGTATTCAATATCCTAAATTAATTTGGCAGAGGTTGGTTGATTACCGCAATAGCCTTAATTCGGCCAGTAAAGTTGGATTCTGCTGGGCTTTTTCAGGTGTTGGCTGGGAAGCCTGTTCGTGTTCTAGTCTGAGGCGCTGAATTTCTTGCAGTATTTCTCTAGAAAAATAAATGTGAAATTAGTTAAACATAATTCTTCTTTTTTACTCAAATACCGCGGATATGCTTTTTGGAGTTTGAAAGGGCCAGTTAATATCCCAAAGATATCCTCCTATACATTAATAGAGTCTGAACTGGTAGGGGCTGACAAGGAAAAGGGTGTTGGAATCATGATTGACAGCTCAATAAAAAGTCACTCTTATGTGCAACTGTTATAAAAAAAGACTAATCTCATGGTTGAAACCATTAGGAAGGGAACTGGAAACAGAAATGTCTATACAATAATGTTATTATAGAAATCTATGGGCTGAGATTACATTTGCTGTATTGTGCTCAGTTCTGATCACTGCACCTTACAAAGAGTATTATAGTGTTATAAAATGTGCAAAAAGGGGCAACTAATGATTAGGAGAATGGCTCCCTACAGGGGGAGATTACAACACCTGGGGCTCTTTAGATTGGAAAAGAGAATAAAGGGATGTATAATACAGATACGTATAATCTTGCACGGTTTAGATAACATGGAAGAGTTTTTCTTCTGTTATAGTCTTAAAACTCAAGGTCATGTATTGAAAATAACTGCAAGACAAAAAAAAGGTAATATTTTCTCACATAGCGCACAATTAAATTGGAAAAACCAGGCCCAGCAATTGGGGGCAATAACATCCAAACTGAATAACTTTTAAAAGGGAGCTGAATATCAATTTATCAGTAACCATTAATATTGGCGACTGTTTCCTGCTCCCTAAAGAGGCAGTAGACATTATTATATTTTATTATATTTTATTTTTTTTATGCTGTCCATCTTTCCCATAAATGACAGTGACATTATACAGTGGTTGTTCTTAAACAGCCAGTATAACAGGTCTTTTGATTCATTCCAGGCTTGTGAGCTTCCCAAATAAAGCTAGTAGACCTTTGTGTGACACAGAATGTTATGATAATAATAATAATAGTAGTAGTAGTAGTAGTAGTAGTAGTAGTAGTAGTAATAGTAGTAGTAGTAGTAAAGTTGGAAGGCCGGCAGCCTGATCCATCAGGACTCTTTTGATGCTATATGTATCCCCTTGTTACCATAGGAACTCAAACATCCCAAGGAACAAGTACATTTATCTAAGAAAGCTTATAGGAAAATGATCACTTTTTACAGCACAGACACCCCATTAAGCATAAGATTCTGTAATGCTATAGAAAGATTATTTCTTAATACAAGAAAAACAGAAGGAAAATTAGATGTATGAACGTTACAAGCTTGTGGGGTCTTGTGCTCTAAATGTTTTGTAAAACTATTTATGGTTGCAATGTTGCATTGAAAATGGTAAATTGACGGCTGGAAGTTGCACTTAATGTTTTAGGGAGGAATAGAACAAGGTACAGTGAGTAAGGAGACAAAAATACTAGATGAGGCAGTGATCCCATCATGCAAATGGGATAATCTAAGTTCCCCCCTCCCACAAGCTTTAGGGGCATAATTTTGCTATTGTTTTAATATGTTTAGTATATTATAAGGCATATTTAAAATATATAAAGCATATTTGTTTTAAGTTTTCCATCTAAAACAGATGTGTTAAACTGGCAGCCTGCGGGCTGGATGTGTCACGTGCAGGTCACGCCCTGCTCCGCAAAGGCAAAAAACGTCACGATACGTCACAATATGTGATCGAGTTGGACACACTTGTGATCTAAAAAATGGAGCTGCCCAGAGTTGTGCTCTAAGATAGGTGGCCATACAAAACTTTTAAAGAAATAAATACAAATGGCTGAAATCATATCATCAAAGTGATTGATTTTGCACATGGCTTATCAGGAAACATGAGAAACTTGTCCCACTTATTACAATTAGTATCTAGAAGTTTTTGGCTTGGACCCCAGAAAAAAACCACCAAACCAGCTCTATCTCCCCAAAATATAGTCACCTTGAACCTGAGATGAGAAAGAAAGAAAAGAAGGAAGAAAGGAAGGAAGGAAGGAGNATTAGTTCAGGTCTCTTGCAAAACAATCTATCCCTCCTCAAGCAGTCCCACTGGAAGAGGCACGAGAAAAGATTGTCTCATCTACATTTGGCCCTGATCCCAGCCACCCCTAGTATATAGCCCTCAACAGATTACGCTAAGAGACTGTAGTCTTGGAGACAAAAAAAATCCAATCTTCCTTAAAGTTAGAGATATAGGGTGAGTTCTTCCTCATAACAGCCTTTTAGCAGATGCTGGGATGATCTAGCTTTAGAGTTCCTGCATCAAGTAGAAACCTGGACTTATTTTTGGGGAGTCGGAAAGAAGCAATTAAATACGAGGAGAGGGAGACAACTGGAACAGGCAGTTTCAATTGATTCCTACCAACCAAAGACAAAATCTAGCACAAGAGCCATCTCAGATCTATGCTATTCCTATATGCTTTAGCAACCAAACTCATTCATCTCTCTATGCAGCAAATCCCAGATCCAGTCCCTTCAAATGTCAGATAAAAAGAGTTCAATTGAAAAAGCATGCTCCAAGAACTGAAATAAGAAGTTCCCAACACAAATGGCCAATTAGCACTGCAGTTACATTGGCCATAGGATGAGTGCAGACATGATGTACCTTGAGCAGCTTCATGAGTCCTTCCAGTTGTACCATCAGTTCCCTTCGGCTTTCCTGAAGAGCAGACATTCGTTGTTCCAATTCATCTTTCCTTTGCCTATTCAAGTGTAATAAACGGATAATTTCGTGAGTTTGTTATCTTGCTCTTTCTGTTCTGATTATCACTGCTTCTGTATTCAATATCCTAAATTAATTTGGCAGAGGTTGGTTGATTACCGCAATAGCCTTAATTCAGCCAGTAAAGTTGGATTCTGCTGGGCTTTTTCAGGTGTTGGCTGGGAAGCCTGTTCGTGTTCTAGTCTGAGGCGCTGAATTTCTTGCAGTATTTCTCTAGAAAAATAAATGTGAAATTAGTTAAACACAATTCTTCTTTTTTACGCAAATACCGCGGATATGCTTTTTGGAGTTTGAAAGGGCCAGTTAATATCCCAAAGATATCCTCCTATACATTAATAGAGTCTGAACTGGTAGGGGCTGACAAGGAAAAGGGTGTTGGAATCATGATTGACAGCTTAATAAAAAAGTCACTCTTATGTGCAACTGTTATAAAAAAAAGACTAATCTCATGGTTGAAACCATTAGGAAGGGAACTGGAAACAGAAATGTCTATACAATAATGTTATTATAGAAATCTATGGGCTGAGATTACATTTGCTGTATTGTGCTCAGTTCTGATCACTGCACCTTACAAAGAGTATTATAGTGTTATAAAATGTGCAAAAAGGGGCAACTAATGATTAGGAGAATGGCTCCCTACAGGGGGAGATTACAACACCTGGGGCTCTTTAGATTGGAAAAGAGAATAAATGGATGTATAATACAGATACATATAATCTTGCACGGTTTAGATAACATGGAAGAGTTTTTCTTCTGTTATAGTCTTAAAACTCAAGGTCATGTATTGAAAATAACTGCAAGACAAAAAAAAGGTAATATTTTCTCACATAGCGCACAATTAAATTGGAAAAACCAGGCCCAGCAATTGGGGGCAATAACATCCAAACTGAATAACTTTTAAAAGGGAGCTGAATATCAATTTATCAGTAACCATTAATATTGGCGACTGTTTCCTGCTCCCTAAAGAGGCAGTAGACATTATTATATTTTATTATATTTTATTTTTTTTATGCTGCCCATCTCTCCCATAAGTGACAGTGACATTATACAGTGGTTGTTCTCAAACAGCCAGTATAACAGGTCTTTTGATTCATTCCAGGCTTGTGAGCTTCCCAAATAAAGCTAGTAGACCTTTGTGTGACACAGAATGTTATGATGATGATGATGATGATGATGATGATGATGATGATGATGATGATGATGATGATAATAATAATAATAATAATAATAATAATAATAATAATAATAATAATAATAATAATAATAATAATAAAAATAGTAGTAGTAGTAGTAGTAGTAGTAGTAGTAGTAGTAGTAGTAGTAGTAGTAGTAAAGTTGGAAGGCCGGCAGCCTGATCCAGCAGGACTCTTTTGATGCTATATGTATCCCCTTGTTACCATAGGAACTCAAACATCCCAAGGAACAAGTACATTTATCTAAGAAAGCTTATAGGAAAATGATCACTTTTTACAGCACAGACACCCCATTAAGCATAAGATTCTGTAATGCTATAGAAAGATTATTTCTTAATACAAGAAAAGCAGAAGGAAAATTAGATGTATGAACATTACAAGCTTGTGGGGTCTTGTTCTCTAAATGTTTTGTAAAACTATTTATGGTTGCAATGTTGCATTGAAAATGGTAAATTGATGGCTGGAAGTTGCACTTAATGTTTTAGGGAGGAATAGAACAAGGTACAGTGAGTAAGGAGATGAAAATACTAGATGAGGCAGTGATCCCATCATGCAAATGGGATAATCTAGGTTCCCCCCTCCCACAAGCTTTAGGGGCATAATTTTGCTATTGTTTTAATATGTTTAGTATATTATAAGGCATATTTAAAATATATAAAGCATATTTGTTTTAAGTTTTCCATCTAAAACAGATGTGTTAAACTGGCAGCCTGCGGGCTGGATGTGTCACGTGCAGGTCACGCCCTGCTCCGCAAAAGCAAAAAACGTCGCAATACGTCACAATATGTGATCGAGTTGGACACACTTGTGATCTAAAAAATGGAGCTGCCCAGAGTTGTGCTCTAAGATAGGTGGCCATACAAAACTTTTAAAGAAATAAATATAAATGGCTGAAATCATATCATCAAAGTGATTGATTTTGCACATGGCTTATCAGGAAACATGAGAAACTTGTCCCACTGATTACAATTAGTATCTAGAAGTTTTTGGCTTGGACCCCAGGAAAAAAACCACCAAACCAGCTCTATCTCTCCAAAATATAGTCACCTTGAACCTGAGATGAGAAAGAAAGAAAAGAAGGAAGAAAGGAAAGAAGGAAGAAGGAAGAAGGAAGAAGGGAAGGAAGGAAGGAAGGAAGGAAGGAAAATCAGAACTATAGTAGTAAGTGAGAAGCTCAGCCAATTAGGTAGGGATGAAGAAAGTTTGCTTCCTTAAGAGCCCATAAAAGCTGTTATTCACTCCCCCTCCCGCCCCAATATCTTACCTGTTCTTGTTTTCCAGTTCTGCTATCAGTTGCCTTTGCTGTTTGTTGGCATCAAAATTGAACCCCAGATCTATTGGTGGCCGTGTCTGGTGAAAAACAGGCAACATTTAAATAAGCTGACTCAACTCTAGAGACACACAGAGTTTAAGCTTTCATGGAAAACTCATGATAAAATTAAAAGAATTCAGAAAAAGTTGCTTGGTTCCATGCTCACATTGTTTTAGTGAGCAGTTTCTCAACATTTGGCAAGAATGGCAGGAAAAAAATGTACAATGAGAAAAACTGAATGAAGCACCTTGTTAGAAGAAATTGATATGGGGGGAGAACATGGGATAGTTGCCTTCGGGACTCTAAAATCTTCTCCTGTTGAGAATACCCCATGATCCCCGATTCAATAAACCTTCAATGCACCCTTCAGTTGTTTTGTTTTTACTGTTCTGAATTGGGATGAAGTTTTTTCCTACAGTGCCTGAATCTAAGGCAACATCAGTCCCAATTAAAAGAAGAGGATGCTTTTTTTGTAGAACTGACTAGAGTAACCTTAATCAGTTTCACACTATTTTTGTTGTCATAAATGTGAGCATTAGTAGGAAAATGTATTTTTTATTACTGTTTATTACAGTCATTTTTGAAGAATGGTCACCAATTCTATTATTCCCTAAAGTGTATATAAGAAAAGAAGGGAGGACAAATTGTGCTCCATACAGGTAAAAAAGAACCAGGAATTAAAGATTCTTTCAATCCACAAAATATTTTACCTTCTTTTGAAAAGGTTCTTTTTTCTTGGCTATGATTAGAGAATCTTTAGAAAAAAACCTTTGAGTACACTTTGACCCAATATTCCAGCATGGCTTTCAACTATACAAATCCCAGTTCCATAAAGGGTGAATTGGGCCATATCCGGTGCGACCTGATGATTTTAACCAGAGGCACTCCAGTATTAAATATTCTGATACACTGTAAAAAGCTCAAAACAGTGAGGTGTTATCACATCTGTCCAGCCATATTCTAAGTCCCAATATTTAGCCAGCCAACTACAGCCAAGTATTAGAAAAGATTATTGTTGCTCTTCCTCATGTAACAAAACGTTTTTTACAGCATTCTCTTCCCAATCACCTCAAGCAACAGCTATCATCTTCCTTAATGGCATCTCTACTGATCCATCAGTATTAAGTTTCAAGGTTGTCTTGTTACACAATGGCAATGTACACCTTTCAGTACCTGTTGGCTAAGCTGCACACATGAAAGAAACATATGTAAACATGGAACTGTTGTTGAAGCATATACAGTACACCAAGTGCAACTGGAACAGTTGTGGAAATCTAAAAGTAGTGGTGCTGCTCCTTGGAATGCAACTCGGATATACGAAGTACTGTTATTGCATGTGTGAATGGAACAGCCGTGCAAGAGAGTCGCATTATATTAAAAAGAAATGGCCACTCTGAAAGATAGGACAAAAAAATGTAGCACATGAATTATTTGTTGACCCAATAAAGATATTTGTGCTTCCACCTCACATAAAACTTTTGTGAAAGAAATGAACAAGGAAGGTGAAGGTTTTTGTTATATGAGACAGATGTTTCTAAGAATAATGGATGTCAAGATTAAGAAAGACATTTTTGTTGGTCCACAGATCAGATATATCATCCATGACAAGCAGTTCAAAGATCTGTTAATAGGGTCAGGGAAAATTGCTTGGAAAGTATTCAAGGATGTTATTGAGAATTCTTTTGGCAACTACAGAGCACTAAATTACATTCAGCTGATTGACAAATTTCTTACAGCATACAAGACCATAAAGCGCAATATATTACCAAAGATTCATTTTCTTCATTCACACTTGGACTTCTTTCCCAAAGATCTACATGGAGTCAGTGACAATCATGATGAAAGATTTCACCAGAACATTGTCACAATGGAAAAATAGTATGAGGACAACTGGAATCCATCAGTGCTCGCTGACTATTGTTGGACAATGCAGTGAGATGCATCAGACATTGAGTACAAACAAAAATCAGCAGCAAAACACTTTTAGCTCTGTTGAACTCACGCAATGTGTTGGAAACATGGGATTAAATACATTATAGTCATTAAAAGTTAAATTCTCAATATTCCTATGTGATATAGTCATTCTGAAATTATATTTGCATTCAGTTTGAAGTGATCTATCCTAGTCCCCAAAGGTTTTTCAGGAAACAAAACCTGGGGGGAAAAATCCATTATTAGCAATTAAAAATTTACTAATAATCAATTAAAATGTGATTTTTGTGGAAACACCTGTCCTTCTCTCATATCTTGATATGGGACATGGCATTTTCCATTTATATCTCTAGTTTACACAAGCAGTTGTTGCAAGCTGCACAGCAATAATTGAGCCGCTGATAAAAATAGAAAGCATTCATCTTGTTGACTCACTGAAGGACACAGATCCTCAAGAGGTGAGAAGTGGCACTCATGTTCAAGAGCATATAGAGTCACATGCAAACACCTCCCATCTCCTCATCTCAGGACACACATTGCTCAGTGACACTCAAGGCAACTAAAAACATAAATCAGTTGGAAGATGACTTTGGATGGTACTATTTCTAAACTTGCCAGCAAGAGAATGTAACAGAACAATAATAACAGAATAACAGAGTTGGAAGTGACCTTAGAAGTCTTCTAGTCCAACCCCCTGTTCAAGCAGGAAACCTTATGCGTTTAGACAAATCATTGTTCACTCTCTTCTTAAAAACCTCCAATGTTTCAGTACCTGCAAGTTCTGGAGGCAAATTATTCCACTGATTAATTGTATTGGTCAGAAATTTTCTCATTTGTTCTAGAAATGTTCTCTCCTTGATTAGTTTTCATCCATTGCTTCTTATCCTGCCTTCAGGTGCTTTGGAGAATAGCTTGACTCCCTCTTCTTTGTGGCAGCCCCTTACATATTGGAACACTGCTAGTCCTAGTCCTAGTCCTTCTTTTCATTAAACCCAATTCTTGCAACCGTTCTTCATATGTTTTAGCGTTCAATCCCCAATCATCTTATTGCTCTCCTCTGCACTCTATCTAGAGTCTCAACATTTTTTATATCAGGACTCTGACATACTATGATTTTTAATAGTACCATTCTTGTTTATTTTTCATTCTTTAAACTACGTGGACTTTTCCCTTTTTGAAAGTGTGTGCTTGTGTGTGCGTGCATGTGCGCACGTGTCTGTGCATTTTACCCATGGAGAATTCTGCAGGCTCAATACTTAGCACTGGGTTATGATGAGGAAACAGAAAAGTGGCCTTCATTATCTGATAGAACAATGGAAGCACCATGCTAGAAAGCTATGCTACATATCTCAGCCTGATATTTCAGCCTGATCTGATTTTCCTCTGACAAATAGCATATCACAACACTGCTTATTGGAGTTCATGGAATCATAGGGCTGGAAGTGACCTTGGAGGTCTTCTAGTTCAATTCCCTGCCTAAGGCAGGAGTCCTTATACCATCCTGGACAAATGATTGTCCAATTTTTCCTTGAAAATCTCCAGCAATGGAGCACCCACAACTCCGGGATGCAAGCTGTTCTGTTGATTAATCATTCTCACTATCAGGAAATTCATCCTTATGTCCAGACTGAATTTCCCTCTGATAAGCTTCCACCATTGCTTCTTGTCCTATCCTCAGATACTATGGTATAGAGAACAAATCAACCCCCTCTTCCCCGTGACAACTCTTCAAGTACTGGAAGACTGCCATCCTGTCTCCCCTGAGCCTAAACATACCTAGTTCCCTTAGTAGTTCATTGTATGAGGAAGACCCCTTGTCATCTTTGTTGTTCTTCTCGGCACTCTTTCTAGGGCCTCAGCATTTTTTTATATCGTGGTGACCAGACCTGGATGCAGTATTCCAAATGTGGTCTCATTAGTGTAATATAGAGCAGCATTATTATTTCTTGTGATTTTGATGCTATCCCTCTATTGATGCAGCCTAGAATTGCACTGGCCTTTTTGGAAGCTGCAGCACACTACTCACTCATACTTAAGTGGTGATCCATCAGGACATGAGTTCTACTTTGGGATCTATCCTGTGCATTTGCTCTGTGGCACATCACCACAAAGAGACTGCAAGGATCCTACCACATGAATGTTATTTTTATATATCAATTCATTTTAACAAACACTGTGCAATACTAGCATGAGCCACTGCTTTGCTCATGAAACCCTACACAAGAAAGATGACTTCAGGATTTCCTAGTTTAGTGCCCTTCTCCTAATTTAGTTTTCTAAGGATTTGGGAACTCATCTCACGTTTGGGATCTCATGTTTGCACCTTGATTACCAAAGAAAAGAAGATAAAAGCTCAGATGCCAAGAAATAAATTCAATTGCTCACCACATTTCCAGCTTCAGCAGCTAACCTGGCAGCATACCGAGCAATTAACCGATGCTCTTCATCCAGTCTGCTAGGACTGTCCAGGACACTGCTAAAGGAAAGAGACCTCACATTTACCAATTGGTACTTGCAATTCTAGAATATCAAATCACACCAGGAATCTAAGTGATTGTCCAACGTGGTACAGAATTAAATCAGTGTATCTTGGGAATGCATTCTCAAGCTTCATTCATGAGCCAATCATGCCCAATTTCATTTCTGCATAAAAAAGTAATAATTCATGGGAATTCCATAATTATGGCTTCTAACTGCATTTTGTTGAAAAGTGTATGTAGAACTGCAACATATTTTCCATACAGTATTTCTGGGGACTACTGCATTCATGTAGGCAAGCTCACCCTTATCATTTACTAGCTTCACTATTTCCAATATCAATTTTTTAAATTTAAGCATGGGTTTTTAAAAAACAGGTGAAAGATGTTTTAATATGAAATAGTAGAAAAAATAACATTGCACTGACTTTGTGTCACAGCATATTGATTGGGTGATTGGCTCAGAACATGAATGCACGTATCAAAACCATATTTCTTCAAAAAGGTAGAATAACATTAATAGAAATTTCATTTATAGAGTTTCTGCTATGAACCCATTATGTCCCCTAAAAAGGAAATAAGCGGGGGAGGGGAAACAAAAGAATAACATATGATGACAAAGTCATATGAACGGCTTGGAAAGACAACATGAGAAAAAAAATCATATCCAAAGTGAAGCCCTTGTATTTTAACAGGCAGAAGCATCTTATACTTTGGTTTTCAAGGACAAATGCATTAAACGTTATCAAATACTTTGGTATGCCAAAATCCGTTCAATGTGAATGGGATTTTTATGGCTGGAGAACATTAAAAATGACTACTGCTTCTAGTGAAGTTTTCATTGTGCAATTCTTCATTGCAGCCTTTAAGACAAGAAAGACAGAATAACTGCAGGTTACCACCGGACTGGTAGTAAGAGGGCAGCTATTTATCACATCAGGTGCCAAAGCAAGAAATTTCCAGCAGTCTTCTTCCTCAGATGGGTCCCAAAACAAGACAATGTTTTTCTCTATTGCTAATGGTTGCCAGGGCTGCTACGAAAACACTAACTTTTAAGAGGAATTAAATCAGAAATCTGATTAAAAGCTGCAATATGAACAGGCTTTTTTCCCCCTAGTATTTTACCCCAAGTGCAGAATCTGGGTTTTTTTTTATTGATCCATTGGTTGTGACAGGACTTGACCTACCAGTTTGGTGGCCGCCCTAGCCTAACATTGTGGGTTGAGAGAGTGACTAGGCAAAGTCATCCAGCTGGCTTGCATGCCTAATGTGGGACTAGAATTCACAGTCTCCTGGTTTCCAGCCTGGTGCCTTATTCACTAGACCTAATTGGTTTTTGTAATATGAACAGGCTGTACCATGACAAACCTGATCACATTGACAGATAGAGTTGCTTATACCAGAACAATGCCATGCCATGTATCAAAAAAGTTTTATCATTAAAATGAAAGCTTTTTAATGTCTCAATGAGCTAAAAGTAAACCCAGATCCTTTTAAGCTGAAGTCACAACAAGCTATTTATTTGATTATTGTTGTTTTATATTGTTTTTTTTTCTTTTGAAGGAAACCTGTTTATGGTGCTTCCACATTTTATGGCAGATACTTGTGGGCACATTTGAAATATTGGGCGTTAACTTTCCTAAAATGGAAGCTATCAGGGAAGTACAAGTTACAAGGCATTCATTCACCAAAAGTCAAATACTGAAATTGCCTTCCACAATCTCTTCTATTACCCTCCTGTATTCTCTACTTTTAAGAATGACTATGGAGGCCAGACACATACTTATAAATATGTTAGAAATTGGCCTCACTGATTTCCAAAATGGCAACTCCCCATTTTTAAACTATTTTTCTAATATACAGTAATACAAATAACATAACCCATTTTGGAAGGAAGATTGGACAAATCATAGCTTTATAGGACAATTTAATTAGTGCCCCTTCTAGAAATGATCTCACTCAGAGGATCAAAAGGTGCTGGGAGATATTGCATTGCCTATTTTGGCTTACTGGTTTTGTCTGTGGGAAGGAATTCTTTTCCTTATACTATTCTTTTTAAAAAGCTGTTTGGCAGCATAAGGCAACCCAACTCCATTTTTTAATCTCAAAGCATCAGGCATCTGGCACGAATGGGCAAAATCAGTGTGGCATAATATAGATGTGCACCATTCTAGTTTATCACTGGTATATTCATCCCAGGGCTATCTTTAAAGAAATCAAGAATAATTTCTGAAATTCAGGAACTTGGAAAAGACCTGGGATTACTTCTAGATAAAACTGCTAGAGCTATCCATTGGAACACATTCTCATGAATTACTCAGCTTGAACAGTAGGAATCATGATTCTCCCTATAACAACTCAGTAGTTCATCATTTGGAGCCTAGAAGAAAACATTATTCATGCTTCCCCACATTTAGGGGTTTTTAAGAAATTAAAATATTTCATAGTTGTTACATTTCATGCCCAACACCATTTATTTGCTTGAACCATCGCAAGAAGCCCAGTTAAAACTCCTCATTTTGATATTTGTTCCAAATTTCCATCGAATTGTTACAAACAGAACCTCCTTCAAAGCAATCTGGTTTGAAATCCAATGAGTGCATCCACAAACATCTCATTTTTAAATTGGCTCTTTTTTTTCTTCATAACATTTAGTCACAGACCTTTTTTTAAAAAAAAAAAACACCACGTTTTTTTAAATCAATAATCCATTTTCAAGTAAATATAGATAAAATAAAAATGATTAATCACAGACCTTCCTAACACTTGTTTTAGTGGATGGGCGCTGGGCCAACCCAGCTGCCTATATAGGGCATCCAACAAAGTTCTGAAAGGGAAAAGACCCCACACCCTTTCCACACAATCTGCTTGCCTAGCACTAACCGTGTGCTGCTTTGTAGCTGGCTCACATAGGCTGCTATCAGCACATGCTCATCACTGAGCCCATCGGAGGGGGCGAGGCTTTGCTGCAACCTAGGGATATTAAAAGCAAAGGAAGCAAAACTCAACAGAAATGAAGATGAAGCAATGAAATAATGTAAATTATTTGAGGAATATAACATGATTAAAAATAATAGTTAACATATGTAAACGTTAGAAGGCGGTAGGGGAGACGGACTTAAATAGGCAGCAGTCTCTTGTTAGAAGTAAGGGATCAACAAGACATGAAGAATGAGGTAGCCTGTCATCATATTCTTTTTCTCTCCACTTCTGAAACTGCACTATTAATTTGGAGTCTGCAATTCTGATGGGAAACTAGCAGCATCATTTCTAGAAAACAGAATATAACATGGTTCTAATTCATGGAAGAGCAAGGATGTTTATTACTTGGCAAACCCCAATTGTAACCACTCTCTTGTACTTTGTTTATATGCATTATTAGCAGATGCATTGTTCTAACAGACATACAATTAAATGATGCCCAGTCAAAACATTCTTCTTTGACAATCCTACATATTCAAATCCATATTTTGGTGTTTTCAGAGGACTATGTCATTAGGCTGAGGCATCAGATTGGCTTCCATGGTCTACCCCAAATCCTTGTCCTTTCAACAATCCATTACCTTAGTCCTCTAGACAAACTCCTGAAAAAAAAGGTCCCATTTCAACTGTAAGATAGAATATAATTCACTATTTCCATCTGGCCTCTAAAATAGAGCATAGCATGAGCGGAAAGTGGTAGAGGATGTCCATTAATGTAAGTAAGGACTCGTTAGACAAAGGATGCCTTTGATAGACAGGGCCTGCTTCCCATATATTTCCTTTTGTACACTATAAAAGAAGGCTTAATATAAGGCGGGGTGGGGGAAGAGAGGAACATAGATAGCTCATTTGTGGTCTCAGAAAAAGCAGAGGAAAACAGTTCAGTTCAGTTGAGTCCTTGGAAAACTTATTAGACATGGGGTAAACACTTTTTGGATATCCCAAAACCAAAGCACAAAGCACACACACACACACATACACAAACACAGAGGGGGGAAAAACAAGAAATGCAAGGTGAGGAACATTATTTTGGACATTTTACATTTCATTAGTTTGTAAATGTAAGATGATTAATGCATATTATGGATATTCTACTTTACTGTGCCATCCTTTCAGAGGTTGATGTACTATATATGAATGTAGTGTCATCTTGGATATTCAAGCTAAAGGTCTTAAAAAGTGCATAAAGTTATTTTTAGGGACATTTTGAACTTTAAAAATCTAATATTTCCTATTACAAAACAACAACAACTAGGAGACTGCTTTTCTTTCTCTAAGATATGAATTATATTTATATAGGTATTTTGTTTTTGAGATGACTTCATCTTGCTGTGCCTAGGAGCCAGCTTGCCAGAGCTGAGTAAATTGTCCTGAAGAAGTCAGAACTCATTTTATACAACAAGGTTAGGCAGTTTCTACAGAAATAAAGTTTAGTGGTTAATTGGGGACACTAAATAATGTTACTAAACAATTCAAGTTGCCCTACTTCACTAATCTGAAAAGGGCTTGATTGGGTTCATGACATTTTGCTGGATTACTTTATTGTGCTCCATGCTGTTGTTCAATAAATCTGTTTCTTAATTGATTTCTTTTTGTCCAGATTGTGAAAAAGTATTCATTGTCACAAATTCATTCTTTTGTAAGAAAAATGCTGCTAGCAACAGTGGAAGGGACTTAATCGTCTGCACTACAGAGAGGCAATTAACTGAAACGAACATTCAGGGCAACTTCCATATTCAGGAAAGCTTATGAAACATTGAATTTTTCTCTTAAGCAGGTAGAGAGGTATCTGCAGTAACTGCTTACTTGGCTATTATCTATTAATCTCCTAGTTTTACAGCTGTTCTCCTTCTCCTAATAATCTATGATGTAATGAAATTGGCTGAAGAAAATATTAATTGCTGAGCATTTCACCATCACAAGGCAGCATGGGGCTGTGCACCTCATGGCCCCTGCTGAAAATCAGATCTTTTTTCCAATTTGGAGCAACTGACCTTTTCCAATAACATTTACGGCCTAAGAATATTTACAATGCTCTCCTTTGACCCCACATCTTGCTTTAATGTCATTACACTTTCCAGCTGGCTTGCTTGTGCAGGTTTATGAGCTTGCCATAAAGTTGAGCTTAGTGACAATGAAAACCACTCTTTGTAATAAACTAAGAGGCCCTCCACAAGATCCAGATAGCACCGTATTGGAAGGCAAGGAATTTAGCTTCCTTCTTGGATAATGCAAAAGATGAATGTCTGGCAATATTTTCAAAGTAATATGGCTCTTTGTCTCTTTGGAAATGAAGAGAAGATTCTCTCTTTGCAGTGAAAGTAGTTACCCTTCACTTAAGGCAGGAAGCTCAAGAAAAGGGTCCTTCTGCATAGAAATACAATTCTCTTCAAGGAGTTTTCCATTGGGTAAAATCTGAGAAATTTTTACTAATAAAGGGTGATTTCACTTACTATTTGCTAACACGATTTTGGTACTGCTCTTTTTAATTCTTAAAACATTTTTCTTCTATTGTTATCTGCTCTAACAGACACTGGACTGGAGAGCAGAACAAATGTTTATAAAACTATTGGAAGTGTATATGCTAGCATGATTTACACTGATAAACTCCTGCACATATGAGCCATGTCACGTCAATGCCTCAAACTGGAACATTATTTGCCTCACCTTTCAAACAGAAGTCCCACAGCTTTGAATTAAAGATTATAGTCCATAATAATACAAATAGGCCAGTCATCTTGAGGGTAAAAGAAATCCGTAGCCCTGATCTACTGAAGTTGTCATTTATATTAGTGTTTCATTTTCTGCATTGCTCCTGAAAATGTCTTTAAATGTGAGATATGCACTACAGACATTGCTAAAGTAATAAAAAGTGGTAGATACTTAATCATATTCACATATTAATTTCTCCTGCAAGGAGTTCAAAAATGTTCTTAGGTTCAGTTATTTTCATACCAATCCTGTGAGGTAGATTAAGCTGACAATGTATATCATTTGGAGAAGAAACACAAAAGAAAGTCTTGTGGCTTCTTAAAGATTGTCAATTTATTTTGACAGAACATCTCACAGACGATAATAGGTTTTAGCAGACACAAATCCCATTTTCAGAAGTCAGATTAACCTTCCAGATGATTTGCAAAACAAGAATAAATTTAAATATTCTACCTCTCTGTTCAGAAACTTTTAATTTTCAGCTGAAAAATATGCAGTAAGTATAAAGCTAAAATTACAGTTAGAGAGAATGAAAATATAGACTATAAAAACAGGGTAGATACACAGTGTACCTTTCTTGTTCACTGAAAATTAAATTCTGGTTCACTGAATAACTGGACAGATAAAAGCATTTAATATTCAATTAAACTGGTTCAGACAGGCCTCTCTAAGACAGGTATTCCTTAACTATTTCTAACATGGACAAAGCTCCATTGTCTTTGTTCACATCAGCGTCGAAGGCTAAAAAGAGCCTCCATAGCAGAACTTAAAAGACCAGCAATTTCATATGGAAGCATATTGTTTTTAGATACTATCTAAATAGTTAACAACTGAGTGATTCAATGATGAGTCTCTAATCTAGGCCTCTTGTATCTAATTCCAATTTGCTTGATTCAAAGTCATATGACAAAACCATATGGAGTTTAAATGGTTTCAGCATTTAAGTATAAGTAGGAAAAAAATATGGATCCATAGAAGTTTTCAGCTAAGGGAAATGTTAAAAGAGACATGTATACAAAATGAAAGATGGGTGTAATCCTGAAGGAAATGTACCGGTACTTATAAGAGGCTGGTATCTATAGAAAGTAAGTTACAAAGGCTAAAAGCACAAAAGGAAGTGAGTCTTGTAAAGGAAATTAGAAATAACAAAAAAAGGCTTTTTTTGACTATGCCAATAATAATTTAAAAAAACCAAGAGGTGAGCTTGTTGTCAGGAGATAATGACAGTAACATGGAAAAGAAGTGAGCTCTTCAGAGTAGAACTGTGTCCAAATGACTTAAGCAGAACAATTGACAAAAGAAGGAAAATAAGGAACAGGTACAAGTTGTCCTTTTATGAAGGACACTGACAACTAGAGTTCTCCAAAGGAGAGCAACTAAGATATAAGGAGGCTGGAAGAAAAAACCTATGAGGTATGGTTGGCATTGTTGGGTATGTTTAGCCTGGAAAAGATTTTGGGGAGACATGACAGTTATCTACACATATTTGAATGGTTGTCATGGAAAAAGTAAAAAAAAATATTATTCAGAGTCGTTCCAGAAAATAGGGAAAGAAATATTACACTCAAATTACAAGGAAATAAATTTTGGTTGAACATCAGGAAAAAATCCCTAAAAATAAGATCCAATCAGCCTGGTAGGTGGTGGATTTTTCTTTGTTGGAGGTATACAAGCAGAAGCTGCATAGCTATCTTCTAGGGATGCTATGGAAATGGATCCCTGCATGGTGATCTCCAGGTATCCATTCAACAATGATTCCATAAGTTCCATAATGTAAATTTCTTCTGGCAAAGGTGTTTGGACTTATTGCTCTTGGATTGGTCACAGATGGCATCGTCCATCAGTGAAATTTCTTTCACATTTTCCCCACCACTTTAGTTAACATTCTTTGTAAAAAAAATCAATAAAATAAAAAATAAAATAAATAATACCACCTACAGCTTGCACAACTGTATGCTACTTCATCTGCAAAACTGTAGCTTTCAGTTTTTTAAACAAATAATCATTCAGACAAGAAATAAGAATGGCTATTGCAAGGATCTGAGATAAATAACAAAATTCAGTTTAGGCAGGGGTGTCAAACTGCCGGCCCAAAGGCCGGAAGCGTCACGTGGAAGCTGTGTCTACCCTAGCTCCAGCGAGGGGGAAAAAAGTCGTGATATGTCACAACATGTTATGTGATGCAGTGAGTTTGACAACCCTGGTGTAGAGGATTTGATCTATTACTTCCATTCATTTCTCAGGCTTCTAGGGTCTATAAAAATTTTGAGCCATTTTGAACTACAAAGCTCTTCCCTAAGTGAATAATAGCAATTCAGGTTATAGCTACATAGAAAGGCATGCCTGTGGCAACACTGTAGTTAAACTA